TTTTTTTATCAAAATTCTCAGAAAAAATTACAATTGCGAGATATAAACTCAGAATTGCAAGATATTAATAACCCAGAATTCCAACAATTAAAACTTTTGAGTTTCTATCTCACAATTCTAAAAAATAGTCTGCATTGTGAAAGAAAAAGTTGCAATTACCTTTTTTATTTTTGATTCCATGATGAAAATTTTACATGGACCATGTAAATTGTCTTTTTCTTCCCAGTCTGGTCCTGTTTGATCTCTTTGTGAATATTGTGGCCCATAATCTGGCGGAGCCGGCATACGACGCTGATACAGCTCAGCTGGAGTATACGTTAGTTCCTGGAGACCATGGACTGGTCAATCACAAACTGCCTGTGAGTTATATAGTACATTTGATTCTTTTGAACAAACTAATTGTACCAGTAAAACTTAATTCTTTCATTAATCCTATAGTTGCTTCTAAAACTGATCGTAGAGCACCTGGCCGACTTCAGCGCCACTCCAGATGTGTTAAGAATGTTCATTGAGCAGCTGGAGAAAACCTACTACATCATCCTCATCAAGCCAGATCGACTTGGAAAGTGGGTAACCGCAGATTTCACACCACCACGATCTCCTTTCGCATCATTTGAAGCAGATGAAGTCTGACTTCCTGTGTTTCAGAGATGTTCGAGTGCAGATCCTGGAGCACCATCGCTGGTCTGTGATGCAGAAGTATAAAGCCATCATGGCGGACCTTAGTGTGACTGATCTCATGGACTTTGTGAATCGCTTCAAGGCCGAGTTATTTGTGGAAGGACTCGTACAAGGGAACTTCACAAGTGCTGTGAGTCTTCTTGATGATTTATTTCATTTTAAGCATGTATTAAAACTGTAATTGCTCACAATTTCTGCACAAACAGAAATCCAAGGAATTTCTACAGAGTAAGTTGACTGCTTCTTCTGTTTGTTAGATATGATATAATAGAAGTATAATGTAAATGTTTTATGTTATATAATAATGTGTGTAATATCGTATTGCGTATTATGTTATCACTCTTTTGGAAGTACAATAAAGTAAATATTTTATATTCAGTCAGTTTAGTTCTTTATTTTCTAAAAAAAAATTATAAAAATAATTTTGAGGTAGCACGTAACACATTTTACATTGCCAGGTTACTTTTTGGAAGTAAAATT